CTTTTTGTGAAAAAGTTAAGCGTTACTCAAAGTAACTTACTGGAGCAGAAAATAGTCCCAGTAATTGATTATCTGAGTTTAAGTGATTATACAGTATTAATTACAGTAATTCTATAGCACTTGAGTTTGACTGTGCTTCTTATTTCTTACCATCCAAGACTAAATTTCTCATCTTCATTTTGAAAATTCTTGTAAACTTTATTTTTTCCTTTCTCATTCAGAGCTTTGCTACCTCAAAACTTCCCCACCTCCATCTTTTTCTTCTGATTTCACACACCACCTTGAAAGGCTCTTGCTTGCAGAAATTTTCTAGGGTTACCCTTCCTTTTCCAGGATTGTATTTTGCTTCTTGCGCAGTTCCAACAATTCAGTGTATATGAAATGAGCAGGACACTGGCGCATTACCCTTAATAGGTGTTAGTTGTTTTGTTGGGCTCTTATTAGTGGGCTGATTTTATTAGGAGGTTATAACATATATTTTTCAGGGCAAGATTAGAGACCATGCATTTTAAAAATAGTTTCGTGTACTGCCTAATCATATTTTTGCAAGTATGCTTTCATATAAAACTGTTTGAAAAAAGATACCAGGAAGAATCTTTCTCAGTTCTCCATCAGGAAGTATCAGGTGCCCTTTATGGTGAATCTTAATAACAATTAATGTTTGCTGAATGTTAACTGTGTCCCAAGCATTTATATTACTTCTCTAATCTCTGGGACAACCTGATAAGGTAAGGATATTTTGGTGTTATCCTCTTTTTAGTGAGGAAGAAACAGAAACATGGAAAGATTAAGCCAAGGCCCCGTAAGTAGCGAGTGCCACAGCCAGGGTTTGGACCCAGGCGGTCCGGATCTAACCCCTGTGCAGTCTTCACATTGCTTTTATTCTGCATACTGTCAGTCCTTACACAATAACTGGCTGTCTTAAAATTTAAAAATTTAGAGCTGGCAGAGATTTCAGAGATTATTTAAACTCCTTGTTTTTCAGGTGCGTTAGTCAGGCTTGGAAGCAGTGATTTTTTTCCAGGATAACAGAACTTTAATTTGATCCCATGATTGTGGATCATTTCACTAGGTTAGAAGTTGTGTTTTCCAAAGAGATGAAAGGGATTGGGAATACTGCCTGCTATTTCATTATCTGCTGGTTTCAGGAAAGGACTTCCACTTGTATTCTATTATTAAATATCTCATTAGCTATCGCTACATCCGATCATAGTCGGTTTTCTCACCAGATTTTCTCTTAATAGTTAAGCACCCTTGATGATTCTTGACTGAAATTATTGTTACTTATAATGTTTGCCAAATGGCCCTTTATTTCAGATTATTAACTCTTGAATTAACCATTGTTACCTGTTGCATGCAAAAGTAGCTCTCAAGCTTGCATACATATAGATGTCGTAACAAATTTGAGACTATATTATCTGTACAGCATTGTTATCCTTTTGCCATATCTTTTTTTTTTTTTTTTGAAGACTTATTTTTTTAAGAGCAGTTTTAGGTTCACGTCAAAATTAAAAGGAAGATACAGAGAGTTACCATATACCCTCTGCCCCTGCACACGTGCCCCTTCCCTGATGTCAAGACCCCCCACCAGAGTACATTTGTTACAACTGGTGAACCTGCACTGACATGTCATAATCATCCAAAGTGCATAGTTTTCCTTGGGGTTTGCTCTTGGTGTTGTGTATTCTGTGGGTTTGGACAAATGTATAATGACATGTATCCACCATTATCTGCTCTGTCTGTTCATTCCTCCCCTCACCCACCAACCTCACACCTCAACCCCTGACTCACAGGGCTTTGTTACAGTTTGCCCATCTTCTGGCTGCATCATTACCAAATTAGAAGTTAATAACTTACCCTTTATAAGACATTATTTTCTAACTTGATTAGTATCTTGATTATGCACATATACTCCATGACCAGATTATCTAGGTTTGGAATCCATATCTACTGCCTACTATCTGCATAACCTTGGGCAAGTTATAAAACCTGTCAGTGTCTCACTTTCCTCATCTGTAAAATAGGGATAATAATACTACCTACCTTATAGAGTTACTATGAGAATTAAATGAATTAACGTATAAAGTTACTATGTTCAGCAAATAATTGTTGAATTAATAAAAATAGTTTATTTTCATAAAAGGTTTACTTGGAAATATTGATATTGATAATTTTTATGACTCAGCCCCTAATTTAGATAATATTTTAGCTATCTGTGGTTTGGGAGAGCATGCTCCAAGGTTTATTTTCTTTATCTTGATTAATAAATTGACAGTGAGGGTAACAACTCAGGTGAACACACTCTAGCCATTGGATATAACTGACGCAAGAAATAAGTAACATGATTACTTTTAATATTTTAACACTTTGGTAAACATTCATTTCCATTTTCCTGTTTTAATTTCTGTTTTTTTGGTACTTGTTTTTGAGGTACTGACCAAAGAGCAGATTTGTACTTGGAAGGGAAAGACCAGCTTGGGGGTTGGTTCCAGTCTTCCTTATTAACAAGTGTGGCAGCAAGGAATAAATCACCTTTTAAGTAAGTATTACATCTGAGCTAAACAGATCAGCACACTGAGTATTCTCCCTGAGTACTTGCCGACGTGAGAAGCACTGTGCTGAGTAATATATATGATAAAACATACCCTTAATTAGCTTACAGT